TTCATAACCTTAGAGGATACGATTCACATCTCATTATGCAAGCTATCTCGAAGACCGACGGCGGTTTAACGTGCATTCCTAATAATATGGAAAAATACATATCGTTCTCGTTGACTAAACCTATACATTATAGGGACAAGGATGGGAAATCTAGAACAAAGCAAAGTAATGGGCTTAGATTCATAGACTCCGTACAGTTTCTGTTATCTTCCCTGGACAATTTAGCTAATGCGAACAATCCCGATGACTTTGCGATAACAAATAAATATACCGATAAGATAACACGTCATTTGTTGCTGAGAAAAGGTGTATATCCTTACGAATATATGGATGATTGGTCTAGATTCGAAGAAACTGAATTACCACCCCTCGAATCATTCTATAGTAACTTAACAGAATCTAGAATAACAGATGCCGATTATGAACACGCTCTGACGGTCTGGGATAAATTAGGTTGTAAGAATTTAGGTGATTATCACGATCTGTACTTAAAAACCGATGTACTGTTACTCGCCGATATATTCGAGATATTTAGAAAGACGTGTTTCAAAGAATATGGCTTGGACCCGGCATGGTACTATTCCAGTCCCGGACTATCGTGGGATGCATTGTTGAAGAAGACCGGCGTAGAACTAAAATTACTAACAGATTACGATATGCACTTGTTTATTGAGAAAGGATTAAGAGGTGGTATATCGATGGCAGCTAAAAGGTATTCTAAGGCTAATAATAAATTAGTGGAAGGGTACGATCCCAGTAAACCCGACACGCACATATTATATCTCGACGCTAACAATTTGTACGGATGGGCTATGAGTCAACCTTTACCCACGGGTGGTTTTGAATGGATCGAAGGTAATGATATCGATAATATTCATAATAATGATGCGAATAAAGGGTACATACTAGAAGTTGACTTGGAATATCCAAGTTCGTTACATAAAGATCATAACAGTTATCCGCTAGCTCCCGAAAGATTAATGGTTAATAAAGATTGGATGTCGGAATATCAACGCTCCTTGATGGGTAATAGTAGGTTAGCTAACGTAGAAAAACTCGTACCAAATTTGATGGATAAAACAAAATATATAGTTCACTACAGAAATCTCCAGTTGTATCTATCGTTAGGTATGAAACTTAAGAAAATACACAGAGTTCTAAAGTTCGATCAAAGCCCTTGGATGGAGCCCTATATAAGGTTGAACACAGATTTAAGAAAGATAGCTACCAGCGATTTCGAAAAGAATCTGTATAAGCTCATGAATAACTCGGTATTTGGTAAAACTATGGAGAATCTTAGGAAGCGTGTTGATGTTAAATTAGTCAGATCTAATGAGGAAGAAAGACTCAGGAAACTTATAGCCAGTCCGGCTTTTAACAGAAGCAAGATATTCGATAACGACTTAGCCGCGTTACATATGCAGAAGAGTAATATAAAATTCAACAGACCGGTGTACGTCGGTATGAGTATTCTCGACTTGTCAAAACACTTAATGTATGACTTTTATTACAATGAACTTAAGAAGCAATAGGGTGATAGATGCGAGGTGTTATATACCGACACAGATTCTTTGTTGATGGAAATACAAACCGAGGATGTGTATAAAGATATGGCAGAAAAAATAGATATGTACGACACGAGCGATTACCCAAAAGATAATCCACTGCACAGCGTAGTAAATAAAAAGGTGTTAGGTAAGATGAAGGATGAATGTGCTGGGACCCCTATAGCGGAATATGTAGGATTAAGACCTAAGATGTATTCTATAAAGAAGTCCGATAATGGAGAGATAAGAAAAGCTAAGGGCGTTAAGAAGTATGTTGTAAAAAAGCATATCAAACACGAACAGTATAAAGAATCATTATTCAACGGTAGAACGTTCAAACACGAGATGAACTCTTTAAGAAGTTACAATCATAGGATATATGGATTAAGAATGAACAAGACATCATTATCCCCCTTAGATACAAAGAGATGGATTGATAATGATGGTGTAAATACCTATGCTTATGGTTATGGTGGTAATACCGTACCGTCGGGAACTATGAACAACTCTTCTCGTACAAATGCCCTACCCGGTCCATCTTGAAGATAATGAAGAATAGGCTCTCCTTCTTTCGTAACCAATCGACTAATGTTATACGTCTTAAGGGACCATATGGGATCGGTTGCGCGACGTAGGCCTCCTTCGAGTTCACCGGGCTGGTATAAATATCTTACCCTTACTCTATCCGGAAGTTTTCGTTCTTTGCCTCTCCTCGGTGCTGAAGATTCGGAAGTCACTGATTTCATTTTAATAGCATCGGATGGTTTCTTCCCTATTAATCTCGTTACTTCATTATTCAGCGCTGATACAACGGCTGATAATCGTGTCACCCATTCGGTTGATCTCAATCGCTCGGATTTCATTTCGATCCCATACTGATAGCCAAACAAACGTTCCGCTAATGTCCTGTTAAATCTTTCGACGATAGCTTGACTGCGGTGGGCCTCTCTTTCACCACGGACGATTTCGACATCGTTCTTTGTTAACAGTTTAGTTACCGATCCCATAAACTCGCGACCGGGATCTACTTGAAATAGCTTAGGCCATTTTAGAGGTCCACGTTTGTATATGCGACTCAGTGCATTAGCTACCTCTGTTGATTCTTTCGATGTTAATGGCTCAGCCTCTTTGTATCGACTAGCCACATCCACTACCGTTAAAGCGTATTTATACGTTTTGCGTTTTACCTTATCGTGGGGAAGAAACAAGAGGTCAGCCTGATGAACTTCATTCGTTGTAAAAATATCAAACTTCTTCCTCGGTATATAACGCGGTGCCGGTAAATATATCTGCCACATCGCTTGTTTCTTTAACCAATCCTTGGCCACATCTTTAGATACCTTAGCCGTGGTGGCTAATTTTTTTATTGCTCCTACACCTTTCCAATATCCTCGTGGGCTATAGTAAATTTTATCCATTATTAATTAATATTGATATTTCGTTTAATACGACTCATGACTATCATTAAATCGCATCATCTTTTTTATACTTATAGAAGCAATGATTGGCCCCAGGTATTGGTGAGCTAGAGCCAATCTAACTTAATCTCATGACTATCGTTGAATCGCATCATCATTTTGGCATAAAAAATTCCCTCTGTAGTAGCAGTATAGGTATATGAATCCTGCTCCAGTGGAAGTGAGCCAGAACCATCATTACCTATACTACTCCATACAAGAGTTCGAGGACAACCCTACTATCACAACTGCCCTTGCTATTGCCATAGCTCGCCTAAACTTGTATATCTCTCTCTGTGCCTATCATCTCTTGAGATGTAGATGCAAAGAGACCAGTTGACTGACAGCTATCATGGAGCAATATGCTAGTTGTATCACAAATCACATTGACAATGAGAAATCCAAGGCCATCACTCTGTTCCATGCTTTAAACCAAAAGGAAAAGACAGTCACACCAATGCAGGTTTGCTTTAAATTAGAAAAGGGAGATATCTCGCTCACAAAACTCTTTTGCTCTTGAGTCACTGTTCGTTTGGTTGCATTTATTCTGCACCTGTGTGGAAATAAATTTTATAATAAGAGTTCTCTTGTGTCCTGTTGAATCCCAAGTTGTACAGTTCCTCCAACCTAAATCTAACAGCGCCAGTTCCGATTTCAAGCTTCTAATGCAGATGTATTGATAATTATCAACAAACTAAGAATGGAACCATTTGAGATAGATGCCATCAAAACCATAATCAGTCTTCAAACATGAGACGGGTGTTCAGTGGTCAGTTGGTGGTGCACTGCCAACAAGTCAAACACAAGTAAGGAAATATTTCCTTTGTCAACTTTAGTTCCAAAATCATTAAAAACATGTTTGAGTGCCATCTCAGGGTGGTCGAGCCACAGTGTCCTCACCCCGGCAGGAAGGATACAGCGGTGCTGCATGATGTTGGTGTTGAAGAGCAACTCTGCACCAGTTCCTACCGGACCCTGTCGTCACCATCAACTGGATTAAGTCGCTGATGCAAGCCTCAATTTTAATGGAACGTCATTCAGAATCCATGTAAAATCTATCGCCCACCTAAGACAAGTTGTGTCTCCGGACATTCAACATGCTGATCCGTGTGATCACACCCCTTTTCCCTGCGCAGATTGTTGATCTAGCCAGGAAAATTTATCAATGCGGATGCTGTTATCCCAGACATGTCAGAAACATGACAGTTGTCTGTTGAAAGAGCAGCTTGATAAACGTTTTTCTGTGCGTAACAGTACCTCTCGTCCATGGCATATTCATGTGCCAAGTGTTTACATGCAAGACATGGTTGCACTTAGAACACATGCAGCTGAAGGCAGAAATATCTTTGGTCAATTTGAACAATTACCAACAACAGGCGACTAGCATTGAGTGCGCAGATTGTCTGTCGTGGCAAGGGAGTGTGTGAGCCAACTAAATTATTTCACCTGGACTACTCTACCATCTGCTCCCCAATCTTAGGCCACCTCCATCCCATTGGCTGTTGGGATTCATCAAATCCCCAATGGGTATCTTTCCTAAAATCTATGACCATTTCCTTTGTTTTCTTGAAATTTAAAAACAGATAATTATCCTTAAACCAAGATGTAACAGCGAGGCTGTATGGTTTTGAAAGCGGATGAAAAATCAACGAACGCTATTCTTACATAGGATTTACCTTTATCGACATAAATTTTATGCAGGAGAGTCTCTTTTGCATCCTGAACACCTCTGTTGGGTCTATGTGCAAATTGCAAAGGGCCGAGAATATGTTGAACTTTGAAAAATAACAGTCCCTAAACTAACAAAACAAATTGACATGCACAATAGAACTAATTTTTTCCTCTTAATGCAGGTCCAAAATATTTCTCTGGACTCGGTATCTTCATCCATTTAAGAGGTAAATGCCTATGGCCATAATATGCAATGTCATTCATGTTGACATCACTGATGAACATGTATCATTAATATAAACAACATATCATTTATCCCATACAGTGAGGAGCAGGAGCCTAGTCAATCACCAACCAATCACTCTCCTGAACTGGTCACATTGGACACATCCTCAAGCAGAGGAAACAAGGAACATAACTTGGATGCCTATAGACCTGCAATGTCAGGAGACAGTGAAAGTGGAACTGAATGTAGTTATCATTCTGAAGACGATGTCAAATGTGCTGAACTTGAAAGGACATTAGAATATGATCTTGACCCTGAGTCAGACTGGTCTACAGGCAAGACTAGTGTAGCTGTTCCATTAGTGAAAACATCTTCATTGGGAAATGGTATGGTTAGCCTGCTGGGTAAGATTGCACTGGGCAGGCAGGCTGTCCGACTGAAGACTTTCCCTGACCGGGACATCCAAGATTAGTGAAAGCAACATTCCTGGAATTGGTGAAGGATTTCTGGCAGAATAAAGGTGTCACTTTTGCTACATATCAATGGATAAATCTTCACTATGAATACATATTTTATTACTTTTGTGATTGTGTGTGTTGCTCCTAGCACTGCTGCTTCATTCTATATCAAAAACCAAAGTTAAAGTCAAAGGTCAAGATCACAACAATCACATTTGTAGCTATTCTTGCTTAAAATGTTTTTCATATCACTCTTAACTGCTTAGAACATCATATGTACAGGTACAGTACAATGTATTTAGTATCTTTAAAAAACTCACAGAATCTACTTTCTGAAAAAATACATTAAATTTTAGGACATATGGCATTTTGGGCGATTCAATGGTTACCATGCATTTTCATTTGTGGCACAGAAATCTATTATATCATAAGTAAAATTTAATAATATTTGCACTTATTTTGGTATATTAACAAAAATATAAGCCAAGCATCATCGATGTAGAGCAGAGACTCTCCAATTAAAAAATTTAAATGTTGCTAGGATGACAGGAGTCGTACAATATGATTTTGGGTGTGTGTCCAAGATAACCAGGACTTTAAATGAATTTCTGATAATTCAATAAATCAAACATAACATTAATGGAGTACTTTATTTATATGTTTTAGTGATTGATTGCATAACATATAATGGAACTGTTTACAAACATGCACATACAATTGTTCAAAGTCAAGGTCACTTGGACAAGCTTGATAATTTCATAATCAGTTAAGTGTTTTGTACAGTATACCATTATGACTTGTAATTTGTAACTTACATATGGTACTTGATGATCATTTCAGACACAGGTGATTACTTTTCTATATTACAGTTATTATATTATTTAATTTTTGCAAGTTCTTTACAGATGTCATCTTCGTTTATAACGTTTTTATATAAATGCATGGCTGAGGTCGGTAAATGATCATTATATTGGCCTATGATTTCCAGACAGCATCCAAATAATGCATTGGCTGAAAAGAAACACCACCAGTGTGTCAGATACAAGTTTGAAACTTGAAACATTGAAACTATGACTGTGCTAAAACAATGCCATTTCTTAACTTTTAAACTGTCTCAATCAACTTAGTACCTTGTACTTCAGAGACATTTTTGACCTACACAAATACACAATGTCACTCTTTCCTGAAGTTGAGCACTAGGAATCAGTATAGTGCAGGTGGGTCAAATCTCTCATTTCTTGTGTAGCAGCATCTTTTGAAAAACATGTCAGGAAATAGGGATTTTTATCACCCAAGCATATAGTGTCTTGTTAATCCGACAATCAGCTTTATCCAACACTAATGATGGGAACCGATTAAATCAGTGCTTTTTAGACCCGTTAATCCGACAGTCTCACACTCCGACTCCAACTCCGACACACCTAATTTGCAACGAATTACCAAAATCACTCATTAATCAGTCTCGTTAATCAGACAATGATCAGCGTACTCCCTGGTCATCTGCACGCGAGTACACAGCCCTTGTTTTGATGCGAGAGGAGTCGGCTGGTAGCTGCATGTTACAACGGCTGCAGAGATAAACTTGCTTAACAATTAACAATTAATGAACAATTAGTTTTTGTATAATTATTTATCGTGTAGTTGTCCGATTTTCAATCACGAACGTCAATACTACTTCATTTCGTTTATCCGACATACTCATCAATCCGACATAATCATATGCAACCAATCATGTCAGATTAACAGGACTTGACTGGAATATAGTTGACGCCTCGTCCGTCTGTAATCATTTCACTTCCATTTCAGTATTTTTAAACAAAATATTGGCAGATATATCAAACAGATCCTGAAGTTTTGTTTGTCTGTTGTTTAACGCCGCACTCAGGAGTAGTCCAGCTATATGATGCCGGTCTGTAAATAATCGAGTCTGGACCAGACAATCCAGTGACTGACATCATGAGCCTCAATCCAAACAAATGGGATACGATGACATGCATCAACCAGGTCACTGAGCCTGACCACCCGATCCTGTTAGTCGCGTCTTACGACAAGCATAGTCGCCTTTTACAGCAATCATTGGTTGCAGGGTTGCCTTTTGCTATTTGTGGATTTTGGGCTTTTTATTTTTCTTGATTTCCATGGAAACAATTTGGACTTTGTCTCTAAAGGTGGGATGGATTTAATTTCTGGCGCACAACTCAAACCATTCAATATCTTTCAACGGAACTTGGAAGAAACATCAAACAGATCCTGAAGTGGTGCCTTTTGAAAACTGTGAAAGAATTTTGCTATTTAGGAATTTTTCAAAATTTGATATTTCCCTGTTACCATGGTAACAAGTTAGACTTAGCTGAAACGGAGGTAGGTGTTGTTTCCTGAGCAGAACTAAAACACTATTCAAAATTTTTCATCTGTCAACAGTTGTCAACTGGTACCTTTTGCTATTTAGAGATTTTTAGAATATATAATTTTTCTGTGTCCATGGCAACAAGTTTGATTTTGACTCTGTTCTTTGTGGTGTGTACCTGAAATAAAAATACTTACTTCCGAATCCCAATTCCTTGGTATAGTTTTGATAGCTCAATAACTACTCTTGTATACGGACATAGAAGTTCTCTCATCAACTGTTCTTAGCCATTCAAAATTCCCATGTGCTTAAACAGTGTCCTTAGAGCTTTTTTGTGTGTCTTTTCATACAGGTATGTAGTGAAGATGTTGTGTCTCATCTGGTGTGTGCAGCATGCATTGCTGGTAGACAAAGACACACTTGTACCCAAGATGTGACATATCTCAGTAACTTGTATGAAGTGTGCATGGTTCACTGTGGTGCCCATGTGTCCAGAAAATATTCCTTTGATGCCTCAAAGAGTATAATGGTACAACAGTACAACAGAAGTACCAGGTGCATGCAAGACTGCCAGTGCTTGTCACAGGGTCTGTGTAATAGTACATGTTCAGCCTATAAAAGCTTAAAAACATGTCTCTGAAGTACAAGATGAATAGCCTTTGTAGATTGTGACATATTAAACATGTGGTTCACATGAACTAGTCTCACCATTCATGTTCTAACACAGTTGTTCTTAGTTTCAGTGTTACAGGTTTCAAATTTTAAATTTGAATTCAACATTCATTCTGAAACATTGGTGGTATTTCTTTTCAGCTTTACTGATGTTATTTGTTTTATCTTTGCAAAGATATTTAGAAAGGTAAGGTGCAAACATGGTGTACCAGGTAATCATCTGTGTCTGAAATGATTACAAATGTAAGTGTACATTGGACATTATAATAGTATACTGTTCACAACACTTGGCTGATTATGAAATTATCAGATGTGTTCATGTGACCTAGACCTTGACATTGGACCACTTTGTATGTGCATGCTTGTAAACATTGGACCACTTTGTATGTGCATGCTTGTAAACATTGGACCACTTTGTATGTGCATGCTTGTAAACATTGGACCACTTTGTATGTGCATGTTTGTAAACATTGGACCGCTTTGTATGTGCATGTTTGTAAACATTGGACCACTTTGTATGTGCATGTTTGCAAACATTGGAGTTATATGTTATACAATTATTCACTAAACACATAAAAGCTATAATGTTCTTTTATATTTGTATTCTGTATTTGATATAATAAGCACCCAGGACACTCCCAAAATTAGAAATAGGGGGCTCTTATTAGAATATTATTTTGGTAAAAGATAGTAAATTTTGTGGTTTATGCTAACAGCCTGAAATGTTTATATACGACAGATTTTTTTTTCAGAATTTAATTTCCCATAATTAAGGATGCATATAACACACATATTATACATGAATAAATCAGTTTTGTGTACATTGATCAATCGGAAGGGGTGTTAATTGGGATTGTTCACAAGCCAATATATTAGCAAATATCATAATGGGTGCTTATTAGAGCGGGGCGCTTATTACGTCGAATACAGTATTACCAAACTTAGACAGCAATTGATGGAAACACCTCAAAAAGTCATATTGTACCACATGTCATCTCAGCAACATTGAACTTTGTAAAGCAGAGAGTCTCAGATGTAAAACGATGATGCTGGTCTTATGTGGCCTTATGTATACCAAAATAAGGGTGAAAATATTCAATTGGAGTCCGGATTAGCTACAAAACTGATGAATACGACCTTAAACTTTGATCTTAAAGATGTTTGCCCACATCTATTAATGATGCTGAATGCAAGATAACACGAACACTTAGAAACATCCTTGAAAAGCAATATTTAGTCAGAGAATGGCATGATATAATATGGATATCTGTGCAGTGTAATTGAAAATGCATGGTAGTCTGGAAAGATTGTTTTTTGGAACATTATAGATTCCAAACTTTCTGGTAGACCCATGTCTCCTTTATTTTGCAAGATGGCTGGAGATTGCCACTGGTCTACTGACTCCTGTTTTGTTTATGCATGCAATGAATATACTACCTATGTTTTGAACTACAAAGTCACAAACAGCATATGCAAGTGTCCTCTTGCTATGTAAAGTGAGTGAGTGAGTGAGTTGGGTTTAACGCTGCTTTTAACATTATTTGAGTTATATCACGGGGTGTCAGCTTAATGTGTGAGGAAAGCCCAAAGTGATGCAGGTCTAAGACGTTTACCACTTCGGTGAAAACCCACGAGCACGGGTATGGTGCTGACAAACCTAGAAACATAATTGGGGCGAACCGGGATTCGAACCCACAATCATAGGTTTCTGGCGTGCCCAAGGGATGCAACTCTGCACAGCGAATCGCGGCGCCTTAGACGACTGGGCCACCCGTGCCCCCCTGCTATGTAAAGGAAGAGTTCACACATTAATACATATTAGGCCATTTATTAACATTTGCTGTTTCACAGATCTGCCAACCCTATTTACTTCAAAGTTGTGAAAAAGAATCAAAAGTTTTAGTTGTCAAACAAGCAAAAAGATTGTGTTTTATAAAATAACTATCAATAAAGTCATGATCACCAATTTGACATAAACATTTCATCAAATCGGTGTGTCGAAGACCTAGCGAAATTCCTTGCATACTAAATCTAGAGACGTCCCTTGTCCTTGTTAGACAGA